TGCACCACCTTCTAACTCATTTGCTTGAACATTTGATTGAAATCCATGGAGAAGAAAATTTACTAATTTCAAAAGAAACATGGAAAAAAGTAAATTCAACCAAGAATGTCCAGCTTCCATTGGAACTGAGAAATTTGTAAGATATCCAGCCATTATTCCAACCATTTCTGAACAATGAAATAAAATGGTATTACAATAATGTCTTCAGATTGCTTTAAAACAAAATGCTTCAAACAAGATGTTGCGGTAAATCAAAATTGCATTGCTTTCTTTGAAATTAATTGATAAGAAATAAAATAGTAACAAGTAAAATAAATTTTTAAATATTTTATATTCTTCATCTCATCCTTTACAGTAATAGTATTTTATAGTATATACCACATATCAGAATGATAGTATATGCAATTTAGAAACAAATGTATTTGCTGTTCGCCCTCTGTATACAGGGGTTCTATGTCCACAGATTTAATCAGCTGTAGATTGAAGATACTGAGAAAAAAAAGTATGCCTATATTGAATATGCATAGACTTTCCCCCTTGTATTATTCCCTGCATAATACAATATAGCAATTACTTAATAGCATTTTTATAGTAGTAAATACTATAAGTAATTGAAAGCACACAGGAAGGTATATAAAAGTTACAAAATACTATGCCATTTTATATAAAGAATATGAACATCCATAGACTTTGATGTCCATGGGGTATCCTGTGGCCAGTCCCTCTTGAATACCAAAGGGATGACAGTATATACTTTTTACCACTAGAGATTTGCAATCACAAAAATTTGAAGACTTCAGAAAACCTCTTTTTTTTCCCACTCTGTGCTCAATCCGATACAAGATAAAAAAGAATTATGTATTGTATTCTGATAAAACATAATGTAAAATTTACCATTTTAATCATAATTTCTGCAGCATTAAGTGCATTCACATTGTTTTGTACAATGATTGGACTTTACAAAGCACAATGAGATAGATCAATTATTTTGGTTGCATTACTGTGTATGAGAAAGAGAGGCTAGATATTATTAAACCCATTTTATGGATGACAAGAAGGGCATAGGGAAAATAAATGCTAGTAATGGCCAAAGCTAGCATTTTATATTTTTCTCTATCCTTTCACCACCCAACCCAGACATATCTGATAACCTAGTACTTTCTCCTAAATTACCTCAGAACACAAATGACGGTGGCATTGATGTCCAAAATGCAGAAATATTCAGTTGCAAAAATAGTAGCATCATATGTGTTATGGTTTGGATGTGAGGTGTCCCCCAAAAGCTCAGGTGTGAGACAATGCAAGAAGGTTTGGAGGAGAAATGATTGGGTTATCACCTTAACATAATCAACGAATCAATCCCTGATGGGATTAACTGAGTGGTAACTGGAGACAGGTGGGGTGTGGCTGGAGGAAATGGTCCATTAGTGGGTAAGACTATGGGGTCTATATTTTTTATTTGGTGAGCAGAGTCTCTCTGTCTGCTTACTGATCACCATGTGAGCTGCTTCCCTCTGCCACACTCTCCCACCATGATGTTCTGCCTCACCTTGAGCCCTGAGGAAAGACCAAATAAACCTTTCCTCCTCTACAATTGTTCTGGTCAGGTCCTTTCGTGTGAGCAGCAAAAAAAAAGCTGACTAAAACAACATGACTAAAAAGATCCCACCTTACTATCAAAACTGTCCTAAAGCAATCCCAACATACACGTCTGACACTGTCATCCACCACGCAGCCCTTTGCCTCCAGAGGCCAAGGGATGAGGGAAGAGAAAGATCTCAGCACACTCAGCCTATGAGGGGGTTTAAGTTTGCTATATGGATCAAAGCGCTCTCCCTTCAGAGCATGCGCACAGCACAGCCTCAACCTTCAGCTCTACACTCCCCCTCCAACCCGCCCCTTTCCATTTCACTCTCATTTCGCCAAAAACAGCTCATAAGTCGCATCTTTTGAGAAGGTATTTTTTAAGGCCACCTCGGACTAAACTCAACTCCCTAAGGTTTTGTTTGTCCAGACATAGCACTGATCCTCTTGCTTCACAGTTCTATAGCTTGTCTGTTAGCACAGCCCTGAAAGAGCCCAGAGCCCAGAGCTGTGCAAAAAGCCCTGCTCATGTTCTGGCTAAGAGAATGATGGGATCCATTACTGTTGAAGTAACATCTCAATCTTTACGAACTACATCTAGAATATTTTCAGAGCCTGGTGTGAGGAGGAGGTAATAAGAGTAAAAACGCATTGGAGAATCAGAGCTGCAGGTCCAGTTATTTAATTTGGATTCTCTGAGTTCAGTTGAACCCCTTAAAATAACCTCTAAATCTTCTCCCATGCCTGAGGCAAGCAGATTTTTTTTTTCTCCCTGGAGTTAACTGGAAGCCCAATTCTCTCCTTGTCCTCAGTTACATCCCAGCATGAAGCCCAGCAGGTCAGACTTCCAAAGGCCTGTGCCAACAGCTGCTGAATGCTCTCACCTAAGCCTCTGATGGAGAGGCCCTGGAACTAAGCATTTTTAACATAAAACCAAGCTGATTCAGGTGCTAGGTTTGGTTTCCTTAGATATTGCCATCTGGACATGCTGCATCTCAGAGAAAAATGGCAGGCTCAGGAATTCAGGAGGAAGGAAGGAGGGGGCTCCAGGTGTACCATTGAGCAACATCAGTCATCAATTTATGCTCACTGGACCACAACAATAGTATATAATCAGAAACAGCCAATCTGCCATAAATACCTTAACTGAGCAAATATTGACATCGTTTGGCATGAAACTAGTGTTTACCAGCAAAGGACAAAATAAAAGCAGACAGGAGTCCCAGTATAAGAATCCAAGTTCAAGGTCAAGGTCAGTGAGTTCCAAGTGAGTGTCAGAGTGCTTATCTCCCTAACACGCCTGCTGAATGCTCTAAGTCTGCTCTTTTCCCTCCTAGAAAGTCATCTCTGCTCTGTTTATTAAAAGAAGAAGGAGGGGGTTGGGGTTGGGGCTCAGTGGTAAAGCACTCTTCTAGCACATAGGAAGCCCTGGGTTTGATCCTCAGCACCACATAAAAATAAATAAATAAAATAAAGGTATTGTGTCCAACTACAATTAAAAAATAGATATTTAAAAAAATAATAAAATGAAGGAAGAGGAAGAGGATGAGTAAAAAAAAGGAAGAAAGAGAAAGAAAAATAGATTTACAGACATAGGATAGCATCAAACAAGAGCAATCAAGGGAAGACATTATTGAATGAATGGAAAATTTAAAATGGGAAAAGTTTCTTTACCTCAAGCCACACATACTTAGAATTGTTTATATTTTGGCTCAAATCAATGCATTAATAAATGAGCTATCACATTTGAAAAAAAAAGAATAAAGTGTTTGCTTCCTTTGAACCTTTTTGCCAAGATGTACTGGCTCTCATACAAAAACTGGGTTTTGCCTCAACTGACCTTATTTCAGAACTTAAATTCTTGGATGCTAAGTAAATGCAACCATAGTAATGGTCCCCACTTGATTTGTAGTAAATGTTAGTTTCTAAAGTATTGCTAAATATTATGCTCACTAACATCTCTTTGAAGCCCAGAGATAATGATAGAGGAAAGATGTGGAGAAGGTAAGTCCGGTTTACTACCAAAGATCCTGGACCCAAGTTATGCCAGAGACTAGACACATTGTCTCTGCTTTCAGGCTTTGTCTTGCCTGGTGTTCAATAGAAGTAAAGGCAGAGTTGCCTTTACAAGATCCTCAAAATTTTTCCTATTCTCATTTCCTTCTGGGACCCTGGCTGTGATACAGGAGGAACAAATGGAGCATATTCAGATCTTCAACTTTGCATTTCTCCCTCAACTTGCTGATGCTTTAAAAATAGCCAGAATATGGTCATTAGTGGTTTTGCATAACTCATCTGAGTTACTATATTAAGCTTAGCCAATAGGAAGGGAGAATAAATAAATAAATGTGCTAATTAGTACATTCTGTAGTATAGCTCCAGCAACTGATTGCTTAGCATCCTTTCCTGATTTGCTTATTACAGTGATAAATTCCCCCAAAAGGTCAGAGTTTTCTTCTTCATGCAGAAGGCAGGATCCAGTCCAATTCTTCCACACTGCTACTCCGTGATCCCACTCCATCAACCTCTCCCGCTCTAAATCTCAGAGCTGTATAGATTGATGCTTTTCAATTGAAACCAAGTCCCTTGCCAAGCTTCATTTCCCACCTCCTTCTGGGGAGCCAGGCACCACCAGTATGTGTGCAGAGAACCATCAGAGGCATTTTACCTCTCCTCATATCTTCCAGGGAGGCACCTGAGCTTCTAGAACAGTCATTCTTAACAGGCATCATCTTAGCCATTTATTCTGAGATGCTTTTCTCTACTCAGTAACATGGAGAGGCAGCAAGAATACAGTGATAGTTTTTATTTCCTGCCATTTTGCTATACTATCACACTCTTTTCTATGAACAATATAATTACTGAGAAGGGGGGGTGATAGAGCAGAGAAAACATAAGTAGCTTAGATAGAGGAAACATTTTAAATTGTTTCAAAGTGAGATGAAGTTTCTGAGATGATGAAATGAATGAATAAAATCCTCTTTTGGGTAAAAGTTATAGGTAGAACAATATACATGTACCATGGCAGAGTATGGCTGTAAAAAGTGACAAAGGTTTCCAGAAAGTCCAAAGAGAGTCTGTGATGTGTGTGTGTGTGTGTGTGTGTGTGTGTGTGTGTGTGTGTATGTAGCATTCTTTTCTTGCAATGTTTATTTGTGTAGTTTTAGTATTAGGGTATTAAAGTGTCATAACATGGCTTAGGAAATCTTCCTTCATCTATTTTAGGAGCTCTGCCAAAGATGACACAGGTCCCGTGTCCCATCTCTTTGTGGAGGGGCTCACCATTCTGTGCAATCCAACGTACACATTAGCCTTCAGACAGTTCTCTGAGAGATTCAAAAAAAATTATGATTTTGTAAATTATCTGGATTTTTAAATTTTTAACCCGATAATCAGATCCTCTTTCCACTTTCTAGATACTAAACAGAAACAGAAATCTCCCATCCCAGGAGTTGGTGAGTTGTGATTCTTTCATTATTATTTTTCAATCACATATTTTTCTAGTTTTCATTATAGCTTCTACATTAACCAATGATTATTTTTCATATTGTTAATCTAATAGTAGTTTTCCAATATTTTCAGATTGTCTAGTTACGTAAGAATTGATTTCTAGTTTAGTTACATTGTGAGCAGATGAGATGATTATAATACACCATATGGTCTATTCTAGTAAATGTTTCATTATACCTATAAAAAGCATATTCTTTTGTTTTGGGGCACAGCATTTTGTGTATGTGTGCATGTGTGTATAAAATCTGCCAATGTAAATCATGTTCAAGTATTTTCTGGGCTTACAGCTGTTCTGTCTGCTTGCCTTACCAGTTACTGAGAGTGGTGCATTAAAATCTCCCAGTATGGTGGTGAGTTTGTTCGTTTGTCCTTTTAAACTATGTGAAGTTTCATTTATGTATCTGAGGCAATCTTGTAAGCACATTAAATATAAAATCATATCCCCCTATTGATGTTAACGTTTTGTCATTGTGAAGTTCCCCTGTTTTCACTAATAATGTTCTTAACCTAAGGTTTTGTTGTGTGATATTAACATAGCTACCCTGGTTTCCCTTAAGTCAGTGTTTGCATGGTGCATCCTTCTCCAACCTTTTACTTTCAATTTCCAAGTCTCATATTTAAGACATATCTTTTGTAAGCAGCATACAACTTTATTTTTTATTTTTAAATTCAGTCTTATAGTCTCATACTTAACATGGGCTGCCCATTGCATTTTATGTAATCACTGATAAATTGTAATTATATATACTATATCACTAATTGTTTTCTTTTTGACAGATTGGTTTTACTTTCCTTTTTCCTCCTTTGTTGTCTTTTTTTTTAGCTAATAAGATCCTTTTCCACATTTTTAACTGATGCATTATAGTTATACATAATGATGAGATTTATTGTAACATATTCATTTATACACACGATATAACAATAACCAATATCACTTCCCAGGACTTTTCCCCTATTTCCCCATTTCCCACCCTTTGGTCCCTTTTCTCAATTGATCTCCCCTTGATTTTGAGGAGATACACACTCACCTTTGTTTTCCTTTTTCCTCTTTAGCTCCGCATATGAGAGAAAACATCCTTAACCTTCTGAATTTTACTTATTTTGGTTAACGTAATGATCTCTAGTTGATCCATTTTCCTGAAAATTGACATAGTTTTTTTTTTCTTTATGTCTGAATAAAACAACATTGTGTATATATACCACAATTTCTTGATCCATTCATCCACTGATGGACACCTAGGCTGGTTCCATCATTTAGTTATTGTGAATTGTGCTGCTATAAACATGGGTATGCATGTATCACTGTAGTAAAATGACTAATTCTTCAGGATAATTACCAAGAAGTGGTATATCTGGGTTAATAAATGTTTAAAACTATATTTTATTTTTTCTTTTAGTTGTTAGTCTAAAGATTAAAGCATACATCTTTGTGTTAATTTAATCTATTATAAATTAGTACTTTTACTATTTCCCAGAAAACACGAAAACCTTAGAATGCTTTATCTTTCTCTTTTTTAATACATTTTTATCATTGTTTAAATTCTATGTACATGTTTATGTACATTCTATGAAACATGACTTTCATTCCTTTTTACAGTTGGTTACAATTTAAACTCATCCACATTTTTCCTACATCTGTGAACTTTCCTTCTGAATTTGTTTTTCATTCTAGGATCACATTTTTGGTTGTTAGTTGCCTGACTTCTCTCTAGTATTTCTTTAAATATGGGTTCACTTGCAACACATTATCTTAGTTTTTATTTGCCTTAAAATATCTTTATTTCACCTTAATTTTTCCCAGATGTTGTCTACGAAGAGAGTCATCTTTTGGTAAATTAAAGACATAACTCTATCTCCTCCACACTAAAAATACTGTATAACATTATCCTCAGTCTAGGTGTGTACAATGTATATGAAACAAATGAATTTCATGTTTAGACTTGGGTCCTATCCCAAATATATCATTATATATATATGCAAATATTCCAAAAATCTGAAAAAAATAATCTAAAATCTGAAGCACTTCTGGTCCAAAGCATTTGGATGAGGATTACTTAATTTGTACACACATATGACAGAACTAACTATATCAGTGGTTCATTTCAAGTAATAAGATTGTGCGTAAGTTTTTCTATACTTTTTGATTATTTCCAAATTTTTTTGCAATGCTTTACTTTAGCAGTAAAGACAAAGGCCTATTATTTTTTAAAAAAATGCTTTTAGGTTGCTAGATGTTTTTATTCTCAAAAGTAGGTCTGGGGCCAGAGAAGGTTTAATTTGGACTGGGCTGAAAAAACTGGCTGGCTCCTAGGAGAAAGGTCAGCTTTCAGTATCTTATGTCAGGGGCACAGGAGCAGACTGTATATGTAAGCAGGGGGAAAGGAGAACAAGGATCATATTGGCCTTCTCAGCAAGTTTGATATGAGCTTTGGGAGTCAGATGAAATGGAACCTCCTTTAATTGTTCTTTATTGAGCCGTGCTGATACCTTGGCCTCTCTTGTCTGGCACAAATCTTGGCATTGTTTTCTCTCCTGCAAATATGCTACTCCCTCAGGGATGGATCAGTGTATTTGAGGAAATAACTATAGTTTAATCCATTTAATTTTTCCCTATTTCTGAAAAAAAAGGAGGAAAATTATTAGTATAACGTCTGAAGCATGGGGAATTTTTGAAATTGTCCAATGTCTCAGAAGTATTCAACCCATTAAAATTATTCTCACTCTGAAATATTTCCCCAATAGAATAGTCCCCCATGGCTTGCTTGTTCTGGCACCCTTTACTTCCATTATTTTAAATTCAATTGGTATTAATGCCATAGAATTATTCCATCTCTTCCCCACAGATAACTTTAATTTTTCTTTGTGGCAAATAGCAGCATATCACTGCATGGTAGTTTTGCTATAGGTTCTGGGCCAGACAGCCAGCCTACCAAACCATGGCTCATGTATTTATTCATTAAAAATAAATCTTTAGATTCTATTAAGAGTTAGACTCTTTGAGGACATGAAATAGTACTACTTATTAGTGGTCATCTTAGGCAATCAACCAAATCCTATGTGGCTCAGTTAGAACACAGAAATGGGTTATAGTTAGTGTTTTCACATGTCATATGATTTTATTCTTAGGACGTTGTAAAATTGTCAGTACAGTTCTTAACTATATCAATTTTTCATATACAAGTAGCAGATACAGGTTAATTTTAGAAGCTTTAGTGATATCTAATTCTCCTTTCTAAATTTACAGCTCATAAAATGGAATTTCAGTATTATTCCTTATTCATTAACAGTATTGGTGGAGGTAGAAGCTGATCCAGGTATTCTTTGCTTTCAGAGAGAATCTCTCTCTCTCTCTCTCTCTCTCTCTCTCTCTCTCTCTCTCTCTCTCTCTCTCTCATATTAAGGTAGAAAGAAACTAATACACAATTAATGAAATTAATTTTGATTTTGAGTAATCTAATTTATTCTAACATGATTTGGATTTAGAGGAAAAAGAATGTCAAGGGATCAAACATTTAGTCTTTCTCTCCCATTCTTACCTCATTTTGTCTGCATCAGAATCTGTGATTTCAGTTCAGTGCCTTTAAAACTATGGAGCTTTGTTTATAGGGATACTTTATGTAAAGAAATTTTTAAAAAACCAAATAACTTTTGCTTGAGTTTGAGGTTTGCAACATGATGTCATAGAATACATAGCAAAATGATTACTAGAGTGAAGCAGAATACCATATCCATCATATTATACAATTACTTATCTACCCAAAATCCCTAATATAACACCATTTTATTGCCTGTAGTCTTCAGGTTGTACATTATTAGATTTCTGGACTTATTCTACATTTCTAATACTTTGTATCCTTTGACCTACATTTTGCAATTTCTTCCCATACCCATGGTAATCGCTGTTCTATTCACTATCTCTGTATATTTAACTTTTGTTTTATTTTGGATTCCACATATAAGTGAAATCATGCAATGTATTTCTTTCTGTGCCTGGCTTAGTATAATATTCCTCTTAGTATAACATCCATGTTGTAGCAAACAGCAGGAACATTTTCTCTTTAAGGCTTAATAATATTCTATTTTATATAATATTTTCTTTATCCATTCATCTGTTGATGAAGACTTAGGCTGCTTCAGTATTTGGCAATTGTGAATAATGCTGCAATGAACATGGGTATCATGGGTACCTGGTGATTGCATGTCCGTTAGGTATACTCCCAGAAAACATGGGTACAAGGTGGTGATTTCATGTCCTTTAGGTATACTCCCAGAAAAGGGATTGTGGAATCATAATGTATTTTAATGTTTAATTTTCTTAGGAGCCTCTGAACTATTTTCCATAATGTCTGTGCCACTCTACATTCCCACAAACAGTGTGCTAGGATTCCCTTTTTCTCTACATTCTTGCCAACATTTGTTATCACTTGTCTTGTTTATAATAATTATCTTAACCCATGTGAGGTGATTGAAGACCTTTATTAAGTGTGACAAACAATATTACCTATTTTGGACACTAACTTTAGGGAAAGATAAGAATGAGAAGAATTCTCTTCTGAAAGAAGTCTCTTCTGAAACACCAATACTTTGTTTCTTATTTGTACCAATTTAAAATTGAGCTAAGTGTCACATTCTAAATAGATGTCTTCACTTTGTGTTCAGGCTATCAGGGTTTTTTTTTTTTATGGATGCCTATAATTTAAGCGAATACATATTTATCTATAAATCATTGACAAAATCCAGGTAAGATGTGGTTCTCACCCAGCAAATGTTAAACTTAGAAGTTTAATCTCTCAGGTTGAAAAATTCCTGAGGATAGCTCTTATATGAAATGTTATGTTTATAGTTAAAATTGTGTTTTCACTCAAAATTTAGAAATGAATTCCTAGGGATCGAACCCACAGCCTTGTGTATGATAAGCAAGCACTCTACCACTGAGCCATACTCTCAGATCTACCTGGTATGTATTAATTTCTTTTCTGAGCTGTACAGTGAGTTGTATGAATAGGAAGGATACATTTTTCCCTTTCTTTTTTATTGATTCTTCTTAGTTATACATCATGGTAGAATCCATTTTGATAAATTATACAAGCATGGAATATATCTTATTTCTAATTAGGACCCTATTCTTGTGGGTGGGCATTTAATTAGAAGACTATTTCACCACGGAATGTCAGGAGGAAACACCAACAGAGAAATTAATTTTTAATCTTAGTTAAGACATTGAATGGTTCACTTAAAAGAAACTTTTAAATAATGTTTGTTAAATAAGCATGGCTTTGGGGGAGAATCACATTAGTTCTAATACTATTTTACTTCCAATTTTGAATGGAAATAAATCAAATTGAAGAGCACAAATTCTGACAACTAGAGGAAGAAAGAAAAAATAGTATTTGGATAAAACTTGAAAAAAGATGGGAAATCAAGAAACTAATGGGTTGTTCTG